GGGTCCAAACCCGTAGTCAAATGATCCTTAGGGTAATCAAAGAGCTCCGGTTCGGGAAGTAGCCTTCCGTTCTCATGCCGCATGGGTTTTTCACCGAACCAAACACATCCGTTCCTCCATCCATTTTGCCCCAAAAATGAAAAAGGCTGGTCCCTTCCTCGCACTCACCGATTCCAAGTCACTCACGATCTCTTTCAACTTCAAGGCTTGTCGTTCGAACTCCGCCTCAGCGAGGCGTTCAGTTCGAAAGCTGAGGTCACTTCTCACCACCAAATGAGGAGAAGTGACCTCAGCTTTCGAACACAGAGCTTGGTCACACACCGTCACAGTCCTCCCAGTTTGCTGAAGCTGTGGCGAAAGCTGGAAGCTGAACCCGTTCCGACACCGTCGCAGCGACTCCCTGAGTTGAAGCTAAACCTTTTCACCTCATCGTTTTGAGTGGTTTTTTTTTCCCCATGGGAAACCAAACCCTCAAGAAATGGTGCATGTTAAAGCTGATCCACAAGACATGTGTGTCTTTTCCCACCAAAAACGGCGTTGGGTAGCTTGTCCACGTACTTCCTGGGTCGCCGAAACGGCTCGGTTTCATCGCTAGGCCCTCAACGCTTGGACAGCCATGGATGGGTTACACTCCTTGGGCGCACCTCGTGGTGATGTGGATGGCACCACCCTGTGAAAAAATACCCCAAAAAACCATGGACCAGAGAGGACCCCTCCATTTTTCTACCTGGACAACCGAAAACAAATATCCCATCCATATTGGGGAGCAACGAAAAATCCTGCTAGTCGCAGGAACGAACCATATTGTATCATATGGGATAGTGTAATTATCCTTGCGTAACACAATTGTTGTTTGGGATTCAGGCTATTCCATCGGCGGATCGAATCCTGGGGGTTCACCGAGTCTGTGTCGTAGAAGTCATCACCTTCACCGGCTTTTTTGTTCGGCAAACAATCCGTCAAATCTTCCCTTGCGTCAAAGACACTTGGGAAACCACCCGTCGGATGAGTCATTCGTCTCCAAAGAAGTGTCTCTTGTCTTGGTGCGGACACAAAGAAAGAGAACGAAACATACTACTATCCAATGGGTGTGTGATGGACACTACTAGCCGGGATCTCAGGCATCCGTTTAAAATGAATTATAGACATATTATTGTGATTGTATTATTCTTGATTGTTGTATTATAAGTAATGTTACTATATTCATTGTATTGTAATGTATTGTATCAATTATATCGTATTTATTGTCTTTGCACCATTGTTATATCCTTATTAATCCTTATTTTTTTACGTGAATGCGTGGAATCCTCAGGTTCGGCACAGGCAAACCACCGACTCAAACGATCAAACGTAGGAAGGACAGGAGTCCAAATGGGTACAGGGTTGATTTTCTTAACCACACCAGGTCGTTGACCAGTTCTTCGCATCGACCGAAAAAGCGCCTCGATAAAGGCTCGAAGCTCTTGCATCTCTTCCTGAGCCACGTGGAACCAGAGCCGACGACCAGAAGGTCTCCGGTCCTGCACCCGAGTTGGGAGCCTCTGCTCGCCGGTCCCGTCAAAAGACCCAGTCTTGCAGGGACAACTGTTCAAATGGCCAGGATTCTTCGGGACGAAGGAGTAACCGTTGATGAAACGTGATGAAAAAGCGTGAGGACCACTGAGCAGCTCGGAATCCAGCGTTCAGCATGCTAGCTGGAGCTCCCGACGTTCCAGTCGTAGCTTTTTGAGGGATGACTGGACCCTCCAAAGCATGATCTGCTTTGTCCTGTGTGCCAGGTGGTTTGGACCTTGCTTTGCTGGTCTCCACCTATTCATCCCACTCGAAAACCACCGAGTACCAGGTCTCTTCCCGTCATCGCCATGCACAATGACCAGTCAATTGATAAGAACCGGTATGAGCGCCCCCCGTGTCCCACACACACTCCATGTATGGTATATACCCCACTCCCAGTCCCCGTTCGAAAGCGTCTTCACGTTCACTAGACAGCCTGAAGGTCATGCTACCCCCCACGGAAAAATCGCTCGCGTCCAGAAGAGCGACCATTTATGTTGAGTCTTCACACCCCTCCTTTTTTCTGGGAGTTTTTCAGTCAGCTCCAAGTCAATGAAGTAGGCGCCTACTTAATTAAGGAAGGGAGTAAGCTAGTAGGTACTTAAGCTAGTACATATATGGACGCAGGACAGCTCACAATTCAACGAAGCTCCCCTCACCTGAGGGGGAGCTTCCTTGAAGAAGCGCTCGCACTGATGATTTGATTCCTAGATTTTAGGGAAACTAAACAGATCTTTTGAAGATTGGACACTACTTGGACACATCTTCACCGGTGGAACAACCGTCGAACACGCGATGTGCATCCCCAAACCCACCGCCCACGTTCGCCACGGGGCATGCAGCACGTGTTCGTGCTCCTCGCCCATGTTCATTGCCACGGGCGAGGGACTCTGAAGGAGGGAAGCAGCTGAAAGCCCAAGCATTCAGAGAATCAACCACAAAACCTCTCTGTCCAAAAATCCATCCAAACGCGACCCTGCACTCTCCTACCTAGGGCTTCTAGGGGCCGCACCCCTCAAACCAATCCCTAAGTTTTGAGGGAGCGGGAACGGGCTGTGAACGGAGCGTTTGGGCCACCATGATGGATGCCTCACATCCCCTCTGTGCCCCACGTCTCGCGGCGTCTCGCCGCGTCTCGCCCGTCGGACGTTGGTCGTCGGAGGATCGAAGCGAGAATCCGATGGATGCGGGGGTGCGGAACAGACTCTCAGCCGCCCCAAAGCCGGAATCTGTTCACCTCTGCAGAGCCTTTTCACAGTGGCTTTGACTGCTGATGGGGGACGGCAGCTCCCAGGCTGCTGCCCAGCTCGAGTGGAGCTCAGAGTCGACGACAAGACTAGCCACCAAAAGCGACCTCCTACGCGGTCCTGGACCCGAAACCTCATGGAACTGCCTGAATCGGTGTCTGAAAACGTCTCCGAGGGAAGGATGGGCGAAACCGGGCCCACCCAAAAATCATCATCTCAGTGCGTTGTTTCGGGGCGGTTTGGTCCGAAACGTTGACTCTGACTCACTCACGATTGACGTTAATCCCGGAGTCTCCAGCTGTCTTGCCCGTCTTGCCCCCAAAGGAGGCTAAGCCTACGATGAAGTTATGATGCTCATCACTTGCCACTTCCTCATGAATCCACAGCAGGTCATCAAGAGATATCAAGAGTTGAATGCTTGTCTTTTCCACCAGGACCTGGACTAAATGATGACTCACATCCTCCTGGAACCCCAGTCCCCACCAGAAACAAACGGTTGCTCCGGCAAAGACATATCGATCCTTTACAATAGGAAATGGCTCGGACGACAGGGACACAGGCCGTCTGGCCACATCCATGCCACTTGACCTCAGATGGTCCATCCGGACTGGCCGGTCGGCCACCAACGTGGCGGTGGCCACACGAAGGTGGCATGGCCCTTCCGGCTCATCCGTCTGTTGACCGCAAGAGGTCGAGCCGTTGGGGGTCATGCCGCTGATTCTCGATGGGCAACCGCTGCAGACGCAAACGCAAACACAAACGACGCTGGAGACTCCTCTGGCAGCCACGACCAGGACCGGCCGGGAGCTCGGGAAGAACACAGGCATCATGGTGCGAGAAGCGAGCCTCACGCGTGAAGCTCGTGTGCTTATACTGCCTGGATGCTTCTATGCGGGGCAAAAGAGCACTTGAAGGGAGTACTACATGCTGTCCCAGGACATGTTCATCCGAACAGTGAAGATTCTTTGAGCAAGAGGGGCCAAAATGGCTGACGATGGAACTGATGATGGAAGGTGGGAAACACACATCGTTTTCATGAGGAAATAACTCTGAGCCCGGTTTCAGACTGTCCCCGGAGAAGTTCAGCCGGAAACTCGTGTGACCAAAAGGGGTCTTCTTTCACACGCTTCACGATGGGTAGAGACACCATGAGACACCTGGAGTCGACTCCAGATTCAGGAAGGGGGGTCTCTTCTGCCTTTCCGAGTTGGTTGCTATCTGGTTGCTATCCGGGATGTCTTCTTTCAGAGGATGGCGACAAACTCCCCAACTTTCCCCAGCTCCAGCCCCTCGCGGCTTTAAAACGATCCTTCGCGCCGATGCGCCGAGATCGTGGCGCCATCTGTCCGCGGCGCCCCGCCCCGAGCCGAGCCCCAAGCCGGATCTAAGAGCGATGGCCTCGAGGGTAATTATATCTCTTCCAGACATGTCTTCCAGGAATGTGTTTCAAAAGCTCGGAGGAGGTTTGGGGGGAGTCACCAATCACCCCAAAACACCCTTGGCCAGGTGATCCACTGGGGTCGGCATGAATGAAACGGCCCAGTCGACCGAACAAACCGAAGGAAGGGCGGGTTTGCTGAACGCCAAGGAAGGGCGCTGTTGGTCTCTCTCTCTCTCGAATTCATGTCGACTTTTCAGTCTCCGGTCGGACAGACCCAGAACGCCTGATCTGGGTGACCCCGATCGAGCGACATCGGCTTCGACGCGCGGGGGCGGTTTCTGCGCCCGCGAGCGACATCGACTTCTTCCAGCTCTGTCTTCGACAGAACTAGAACGCACCGGGAGCCGAACCACACGGCCCCACGGGCTGTGTAGGCAAAGGAGGAGGAACAGGGATTTTGATCTTGGAATCTTCTGGGTCTTTCTTCGCAGGTTCGTCGTTCGCTTTGGTTGTGGAGAGGAAGAGACTTGTCTGAGATTGCTTGAGACTCACTGAGAAAACCCAAAAGGATGAACATTCAATGCATGTTGCTGAAAGATCCTGTTTTTCTTGTGCAGGATTTCTGGACCCAGAACTAGCTCGACATGTGTTTTTCGTGGCAGCATTCTTTACCAAAGTCCTCATAAAATCTCCACCAGATTGCATGTTAATAGCATCTATAATTATAGCATATTGAACGGTTGTAGAAGAACCTGATATGAACCTGATACACATGATTGGTTGCCTAAACCCATGACGTGTTAACTGCATCTCGCGTTTTCCCAACTTTCACCTCACTCTTCATCTGCCTCCTCTCCGATTTGGGCCTTTGCCCCAAAACCGGAGGATCCCACCGTGCCACCTGTGCAACTTCTCTTCACACCTGTTCGACGCCACCTGCGCGAACGGCGCAGGCATCACGAATATTATATTCCTAGTAGCGATGGCCTCCAACCTACTAGCTTCTTGCTACTACTAAGAAGCTAGTGTCTGCGGGTCATGGCACCCACAAAAAAACCTGATTGACTCATGAAGTTGCGAACGCTTCTCTTTTTTGCACGAGATGTCAACCTTCCCATGCTTTAGTGAAGGTGAGGTTTTGACCCACATCCAGAGATAGGTCATCGCACCAAAGGAGTCCGACCAGTCTACCTTGTGGACCGCGAGTGGTCTCCAGTCCACCTGGGGCCGCCCTTTCGACCGGTACCTGTGCCATGACCGATCGATCTGAGTCGGCGTGGTGGCATCGATTCTGTCTTCCTTTCGACCTCCAATGCCCTTTCGACCACTTGTTAGTTAGTAGTTTTCTTGTTACATTCGTAGCGTCCGAACGCTCCGTTTGTCGTACGGCCAGGAGCCCCGAACGTAGTAGCGTCCTAGCGATGCCGGACAACGAGGTAGCGTCCTTTTGTTCATCTCAAGAGACGATCTGCATCCTTTGGACCGAACCGAGGGATCATTCTCACTTGGTTGGGAGAGTCGAAGAGACGCATCTTTCAGTGACCACCCACAGCTCGATTCCTTCTAACGAAGCACCTGAAAATAAAGCATGCTACGCTCAAGGAGCTCGGGGGTAGCAACCCTGGAACTCAGCAGCTCGGGCTTCTTTTTGACACTTAAAACCGGGTTCACATGACTTCAGATGTGAAGCTGGAGATTCTGAGACAGGCGAAGGTGGTTTACCACGCTCCCTCTTTTTAGCGTTCAGCAAGAATGGCCCTGAACAATTTCCTGAAAAAAACCACACTTGTGACGGACAAATCTGGTCGCCTGGCTGCTTGTGCCTTTGAGGCAGTTGAACGGTGGCGCCAGAGTCCAACGGGATTGCGATGTGTGTTCATTTCAATTGATGAAACGTCGAATCTCTAGAATCTAAGTTATCTCAGAAGTTGATCAAGTACTTCAGCGCTTGATCCTCAAGTCAAGCCTTCCAACTAACTCTCAACTCAACATCAATTCACTGCCAAGATCAGCATCCTTCTTGCGCCATGGCCAACAACAGCTCGCGAACGATGGATGCACTTGGGCTCTGGCAGCCTGCAACTGCGAAGCCCATTGGTAACAAGCGATGCTCGGCAGCAGGATGGCCATAGACACCCAAATGAGATGTGAATAGCCTCTCCTGGCGCATGAGATTGGCCAGGTATGTCATGATCAAACATGATCAAACCTTACAGAATGACCCTATACAGTACCATATGGCCTCTGTGACCATCTCTAATTCTTTGAAGCCGTGCTTCTGCATCTGAGTCCTTTTGATGGATTCGCCACCCCAAAAGCACCAAAAACACCAAACCTAAAACCGATCGCATTGGCCCAACCGATCTGGGGGTGTCAAATGGTCCACACCGGTCGGTCGTCGGGTGGATCGACGTGATGTGGAACGACGGACGGACTCGGATCGGGTTGACCCGCCTAGGCAATAAAGGCCAATCCACGTACTCGAAGAGCACGGTGGAGACCGGAAAAATGGCCTTGAGTGCCACGAAGGTGGCTAAGGCACCTGCATGCTTCACAGCCAACAGGATGCCCATGTTCATCCTCAACGGCAGCGGGCAGAGCAGGGTGGATTGGTCGAGTCGAGCCGAGCACGTCGTGATGACAGCCAAGATGTGATGTTTTCAGGGCCGAAGCGAAACGCGAAGCGAAGCGAAACTCGTCAGGTCGGATCTTCTTCTTCCCTAAACAAAGAAAAAGCCGTGCTTACACGGAACACCATGCGGGTCGAAAGAGGCTTCATTTCAATGAAAGCTTCAGCAGGTTGAAGACCACGTAGACCAGAAGACACCTTCCGGCCAGCTCTCCATGGCTTGAATCGGGACCGCAACTCGCAGCATCTCCACTGAAGACCTCAGGTTGGTCGGAAGGAAGACCAAACGAACACATTCAGACGATGCCTCTTTACATGTCACAAAATGAATCTTGCACGTCTCAAACACAACTCAATTGCTGCCGTTCTTTTGCATGATAAAAGATATGCATCCAACACGCATTGGAAGCCTCCAACAAAAATGATAAAGCAACTCGATCAGCAAATTTTGCCAGGGCACACACCTCATTGCCTCCTGCAAATAGTGGAAGAGATTCCCCTCGCTTGTCTGCTTCAGCATGACATTCAGTGGGATCAACAGGAGAGTCAATGGGAGCTGGAAGATCGCTTCATGCGAATTGATCAGAAACCTGATGGCTCAAAGGGGCTGATTGCTTGGTAACCTGTTTCACATCATCATCCTAAGACATGCCCATCTTCCACAGCCCTAGTCAGTTCTCTAGTTCTTGAACACCTCACCCCTCTGAAATTGGCTCAAGCAGCATGTTCAGGGACGCACCGCCCTCCAGGTGGTTCTCGCTCGCTCTCCAAGTCTTGTAACGCGTAAAAATCAACTCCTTCACCACAAACGCGAAGGCATTGAAGACGCAGCTCCCACCTGCCGGACCGTTTGGCTCTGACGGTCCAGTCGGAGATAGCTTCTGGGTCTGGTCGGTTTCAGGGCGCCTGGGGTGTTCTCGGCTGCAGTGCCGAGTTCCCAGAACACGGCGTTTGAACCGAAAGGATCTACCCAAACGCGAGACGCGGACCGGGGCCGGTTCCCCGGTCTTCCGAAGCGTATTTCGGGGTCCGGACCGGTTTGGAGGGATCGGGGCAGCACTGTGAATGGAGCGTCTGGGTAAAGAAGGTGAGTGACACAAGTTCCTGACCCTGTAGAACTGGCGGAACTTGATTCATTTACCCGTTGGGCTTCCGGTTGTTCACCATTGCTTTACTAAGCCTAGGATTTTACACTATACACAACACAACTAGGTCTGTCCCAGTCTTTGTAAGGGTCGAACGGAAGCCGAACGGGTCAAGAACGACGACTTCCGGTCAACCCAGCGACCTGCTCTCGGTCCGAATTCTGAGACCTTCCGCGAAGTGCGACTGCTCTCGGCGAGGGCAGATGTTCGGTTTGCCGCTTTCTGAGGCTCAGATCCCGAAGCTCCCGTAGGTTTGGATTCTCAGATGTTCCTTTCAACAGGTTTTGGATCCCGAACCTCCTGTGCTCGAGACCGAGACCCGTTCGTTTAGTAGGTCTACCAGACAGCCAGGGGTGACCAGCCTAGCACCACTGCGAAGAAGGGGTTGGACCCCGTGGCGTCTGACTCGAAGGAGGGCAGAATTCCGATGACCACGGCGAAGAAGACGCCCAGCAGCGAAGTCACTTGGAAGAAGGAATACCTCTCAAAGGGCGGTGGCGAAACCCGACATGTGTGGAGATTTTTTGGGGTGCAACATGTTTGGAGGTGGTTGTTTTGGTACCAGGACCCTCCGACCATCGGGGTGTTCCAGGATGAACCGGTGCTTTTGGGACAAATCACCTCTTTAGGAGGCTATTTGTAGGAGCCTTCTTGGAGGGTCCTGGTGAGGTTGTGAAGGGACCTTCAGAACGAACACACGACCATTGACACATCTTGACCCTGGTTTTGCGTGATACTGCTCTGTGGTTTTGGGGTGGCCACTTCCTTAGGTCACTTCGAACTGCATCTCAAACACACCACTGCGATCCCGTCTGATTGACCCGCAGGTGGTCCCCTTTTCCAGGCTGGGTGATGAACATCTACCAGACCCAACAATTGTCATGACCATCTAAGATGGTGCATCAACGAAGATGGACACATGCACCAGCAAGAGTCTGAGCGCACCAGCGCTGCTACGTACGTACTGTCATCACGAACCTACGTACTGTCATGACGGAGATGATACCCACCAATCCACGCTTTGCTTCATGAATTGCCCTGCAGGCAGGTTTCTTTCGCTCCGAAACTCTTGCCCACCAAGAGACCTCTGATGGAGCATGCACATGGAGAGCAGCGCCACGAAGATGGATGAGCAGTTGGACACCAGGCTGTGCAAGGGTCCAGAAACATGACTGGTACAAATCGCCCCAATTACATCGCCCAGGGCATCTCCGAAGGCTGCCAAGACGATCAAGAGCGCGGGTGGGAGGTGACCATTGGGCTGCCACATGTACTTCAGCTGGAACCTCAGAGCATAACGAAGTGTTGGGAAATTTCATGTCATTTCATGTCAAGCGGCAATATGCTACTAGCGATGGCCTGCAACCAAATAGCGATGGCCTCCACCCTAATAGCATGGCCGATGGCCTCCACACTAGCACCGAAGAAGTTCTTACTTCTTCACAACTGGTGCCTTGGAGGGTGGCAAAAAAGAGGGCGGTATAGATGTTGAAGGAAGACATCGGGGGCACAGAAGTTGAAGCTTCCACCAATCGACACAAGCCACAAAGCGCTCTCTTCCGTGAACGGCGTTCGGCCAAGAGACCAAGGTGCAGCGCCGGTCTTCAAAAGCGTCAAGAGGATGGCCCAAAAGAGGGGCACGTAGCCCACGGCCGTCCAGAAGCCCAACATGTAGACGTAACGCTTGGACAGGGAGACAGAGGCCACCTGCTTGGAGATATCATTCCCACAGCCAAGCAGAACCACGATGATCAACAACAAACCTGACAGGCACAGGAGGAAGTACATCTGCAGTTCAGATGGACCGCCATTGGGGTAAATCATCCGCAAGCGATCTTCGCAAAGAACAGCTCAGACATCTATTTCCAAAGGCCATCCCAGCCCCAGTTTTTTCATCCGTTCCACCTATCCGTCTCCCTCAACGAATGCAAACACGCCTTGCGAGGCTGAGAGCAACGAGGCGTGACGGCCGCGGTGACCTTCGGCGCCTTCCATTTCCAGTCCGCTCCGTTCCATCCGTCGGGTCAGACACGCCCCCGCGCCCGTGGAGCGTTGCTGCGGCGCAGCAAGGTGGGTGGAGCGACTGCGGCGCTGCTGCGTGGGTGTTGAGAAGGGACCAAAAGAACTTTTCAGGTAACGGTGAGGAATTCTTACAGAATCTCACAGATGGTGTATCCCCAAAGATGCGTGAGACTGGACGACCTAATTAGATATCAATGTGCAGGTCTAATATAGACTCAATGGGTATATGACGGATCTATGTCTATGGGACAGTATGACTCTTGAACCACTGGATTTTCATTATAAGGCATATGGTGCATTATTGTACCATTCCTACAGGTCCAGTCTGACCCCGTAAAACTGGTCCTGAACACCTTATCGAGTAGTGCTTTTGTACGATCAACTTCAGGAAAATGAGTTGCAACTGGCCTGTAGGGAATATTCATGGATTTTGTATGCACTCTCTGTTTGATGCTTCGTGCAGGCTGTAATGCTGCAGATCAGAGCCAACGCTAGCCAACGCTAGCCAACGCTGCAGATCAGATTCGTCTGAGGACCAGTTCCAAGATGGACTGCCACACTTAACTGACCGGCACTTCGTGCGGTTACCTGGATCCATATCTGCCGGACGGGGAGGCCGATGTCCGTCGCTGCTCGTGCGCGCCCAAACGGCTGCTGAGCAGGAGATCCCTGGCACAGTGAAATCACAAAGCTCACCCTCGGTGTCTTGTCACCAAGTGGACGCTCCACACACCACACCAGCCGCGCACCACCAGCCGGAATGCCCCCACCTTGCCGCCGCGCTGAGCCTGCGGGGTGACACGCGAAGTTGGACCCAGGAGGCGACGTGCGCAGTTGAGACGAGGAAGAAATTGATGGTCACGTTTCAACCACAAACAACCCATTAGGAATACCATATAGGTCACGATAGTCCAATTGTGGCTACAATTAGGAATGCAATACAATACAATATGTGATCTTCCTATAGGTCACGATGATCCTTTCCAATGATCCTTTCAATATAGGAAGACCCATTAGGAATACAATAGACTCACCCCACACGGACCATCCAGGCACTTCGGTTTGAGCGGTTTCAGGAGTCGAATTCGTGTGTCCGATTCGTTTTGTTCTGTAGATACTTAGAGTGGGAATTGCCTGGGATGCACTGGAATAGACTCATGGAACATGACTCTATTACAAACAAAGGGAGCTCCATGAGTCCATGACCCAATGGAGAAGGTTGAGAAGGCAGTTTTCCTGACATGCTTCTGGCAAGGGGAAGCTGAGTAGCAAAAAGCAGGAGCGACATCCCGCAACATCCAGCTTTTGCAAGAGGTTAATTGATTTCCCAGAGCCACACTCACCTATTTTCCATCCAACCGCACCGATTAAATGGGCTAGCTTGCTAACACACCGGTTGAGCTCAAAACCATCCTCGGATGCCGTCACTTCGAGATGCATCATGCTTCTGCCATTTAGGACAGCTCAGTCCTATGCCACAGAAATCACTGAAGGTCCTTGTGAGGACATCAAATCAAAAAAGCCATCTCGAAAAAAGACGCTTCAACCACCCAGGAGTCATCAGAGCCTCCCGGGGTGCCCAACCGAAACTCGGATTCATCTCCACGGCACCATGGGACCCATCCCACCCACCCACGAGCTCTGTGACCCTCATCCCAACCGAAGCACCGCAGCGCCCAACCGGTCGAAGCACGGTCGATCGCTTCCCGAAAATGGAAGACCGTTGGAGTCGGAGCAGTCCGCACCATCACCCTGATGGTAGTACTATATAGGTTCCTTTTTTTGAGGTCCAGATGGGCCAGATGTGTTTGCACCACCCTGCCTGTGCGACATTTTGGTACAACTTTACTCTTTGTCACCTTCTTTCACAGCAACATTGGCGGAACACATGAACCACGAAGGAACCATGTTTTAGCAGAAGAGCAAACCACCGTAGTACCGCCTTATACATCCTTCTATGCTGCCTGACCATGGGCGGCAGTCCACCTGACCGGCAGATTTCTGGCAACCAAAAACTATATCTGGGCACATTCAGCATCATTCAGCCATAACCAATACACGACTAGTCAGGGACTGCCAGTCCGGACTGCCTTCAAAACGGCCAGGGGTGGTTGACTGGGGGTCGGTCTGGGGTGGCATCGCCCTGGCAGTCCCTGGTCGTGTCTGGGTAATTAGGTCCACCACGGCCGAAGAACGGAATCGAAGCCACAGAGACGACTGAAGCAGACTGCTTCGCCATCTGTCGGACTGGACTGGACCTGCTTTGGTCTCTACTGGTCTCCACTGGCCCCCCAGCTCTCATCTCTCAAAGCGATGCCTGGCCTCATGTCTTCAGCTGAGAGGAGCGTGTCGACGTCTCACGAGAGGTCTTTGGTGCTCCGCGAGGAGCCACGGCAATCCAGCTCCAAATCAAAGTACTTCATAATCACAGTCACCTCGGCACTGAGGAAACCAATGTAGAAAGGCTTGTAACATCTCTTCGTATGGGGGACTCTATGCATCCAGAGTCTACAACTACCCAAGGTCATTCACAAGGTCCCACCTGGCGGTCGCCGCCTGGCTCAGTAGTGGAAGCCGAGGTGATCACAGCCACAGAATTAGGACCCCCTTGGCTTGATTTAATACTTTAGAATAATGAAAGGGACAAGGGTTCGGGTATATCAAGGTATAATAACCACCACAATCTACGAAGTGGGAGGTTGTCAGCAATGTACCCGATAATATATACAACCCTTAGGGGTGTTGACACACGACGAGGGACTCCGGAGGGCTTGGTCCCCGTGGTGGGCAAAGAGATGCCGGCGTGCGAGCGAAGTGAGCTCGGTACGGCAAACGACGAGAGCACGAAAGCGAACCTGGTGAGCCATTCGATCACCAAAACTGAGGCCATACTGCTCAGGACCTTGTTTTCACATGTTTGAGGTACATATCAGTTTTTCGAGGCCAAATGGCATTTTCACGTTTTTCACGGCTCCGCTGGCCGCAGTGGAAATAGAAGCAACACTTGGAAAAAGAACAGAAGTCAACTTCATCAGCAATGTGTACATAAGACACACATGGGGCAGGAACATGGGCCTTAACCGTGCTTAAACTGCAAACTGTCTTCGGACAAGTTGAGCACAGACCATTTAAGCAAAACGTATGCTCTTACATCGAGTGACACACGTAACACAGGACCTTAGAAAGGCACAAACTCTACAAATTCTACCCTTTTCTATTTTCACGCCCCCGTGGCCCCCCAAATGGCTCCCCAGGAATGCACAGCAGTGGTCGAAAACGATCGACGTGCGCGAGCTGAAAGGCGCAGCGGCGTGCTCTTTCTTGAAGAGAGTCAGTTCTGATTCCGGCATTACCAACTTTTGCTGTACCTTTTGTTTTTCCTCTTTCGATGGTATGCCGCTCAGACTGACCGATTGACTTGACCCAAAAGTATGTCAGTGTGACATGGTCTTGAACTGTACATGTTGTCCATGTGACATGACAAGTTAGGGGTTACATCTGCGTGTAAACTCTCGACTCCCTCCTCACCGTTTTGGCGTGCCACAGGACACTATGTACATGCATTCATTACCGCGCTTGGAGCAGCGGCTTTGGAATCTACTTGGGACCCTAACGAAAAGCTTCGGTCCCTAGTGGACGGCTTAGGCTCTTGGATGTCTGTTCGAATGCCTAGGAGGTAGAAAGCCTTGTGCCACTTCTGCGGTGGTAGAGCTTTTGTGAACACATCTGCAGCCTGTTCGTTAGTATCTATATTGAATAGTTTTGCATGGATCGTCAAGACATTCCTTTAGTGAGGATAAGTTAATCTTATGCTTGGGAGAATAGCCCTTGTGCGCAACAATTATTGTAGCCTGGCTAGCATGTTTCGCGCTCCCCAGTGGCACGGCGCCACGCAAACACACTTCCCACCAAGGCCGCGCAAATCCCAATGGCACTGCAACATCACGAACGTAATTTCGCCACACGGTCTGCCCATACACCAGAAGCAAGCATATCACATGATACCACAAATCATCCCGCTCACCAGCGACACGCCGCGCTCCACAGTGGCATGGCGCCATGCAAACGCACTTTCCATCAAGGCCGCGCAAATCGCAATGGCACTACGACATCACGACAGTAATTTCGCCACACGGTCTGTCCATACACTAGAAGCGTTTCGTCGGAGCACACACACATCACGCAGCCCTGCCAAGCAGTTTCGCGCTTCCAGCCCCTCCAAACAACACCCGCGCACACGCCAATCCCAATGTCACAGCGACATTCACCTCTACCGCAACTCACAACAGGTAGCCTCACAATTCCCTGCGCCTGCCACGAATCTTTCCGCGTCCCCATGTCTAACGCGCACAAAGTACTGTGCCTGCCACGAAATGTCACCTCCGTCACACCTCGCAAGCAACCTCACGATTCCCTGCGCCTGCCACGAAATTCGCACTTCCGCACCTCAAAACCCGCACAAAGTACTGCGCCTGCCACGAAAAGTGACAATATCATGTCATGTGAGCTTCAACAAAACTTGCACCACACCACACGTTTGGAATGATTTCGACCCGTCCTGAGCACACTCCCATCCACCAAAATCGCCATTTCAGCTGAGACTTGTCACGAAAACAGAGCTTCGCTGCGATATCCTGAAACGGAAATCCTAATGTCACGGCCACACCCAACACTCCAAAAACATGACTCTCCAAACGCTAATCCCAATGGAACTGCGCAGAAAAACTGCGGATCTCACAAAACGCTGTGCCTGCGCAGTGAACACAACCTCCATAATTCAACATCTTACGTTTCCACGCTGTTTCACACGCATCTGACACATCACGTTTTCATCCGAAACCCTCTCCAAAAGCTTCCCCCAATGGCAGCGCCTTAGCGCCCTACTGCGAACGGTTGCGGACGCAGAAACAACACGTCGCGAACAAGGCTCTACCCCCAGACCCCCAGAGTTAAACGAGAACCCTTCGCTACGCATTCGGGAAAAATGGGAAACTCGAGTTCGGCATCGCTCATGACGACAACCTCTCCCTTTTTTGTGGCAGAAAGGGCGACGTTTCCATCCCCCCTTTCTGTTGCTTTCCGACCGGTGTGAGCGAACAGACGCCGGAAGGCTCTGAGAGCCCGGGCGCAAGCGTTGAGGCGCTTGATCTCTTGCCGGGTCACCTGGTCGCCGTCCAGAGGAGTAGTCGGTCGACCCATCGCCCGAGACCGCGAGGATCGGAAGACTCTGATGGTGTGATCGGCCAAACCAGCCATGTCCAAAGCGTGGAAACCAGTCCAGTCCAGTGGCTTGGGGGAAACCAGTCCAGTGGTTTGGACATCACCATGAAAACTGGAACTCGCCATGTCCAAAGACTCAGTGGGGGTCTAAGTGTCTGTGTGTGTGTGTTCTCCAACTGAGTTCAGCCCATCCAGGTGAGTCCAGGTTGCGGCAGCTCGCGCGACCAATTCAGCACATCACCTGCAGCCAGCCTCCAACATTCAGCACATCCACCCTCCCAGCGATGCCCATGAGCTTTCGGACGCCAACAATGACTTGATCAACTGCCCACCTCCTGCCCTAGAAACAGCTGACTGGCCATGTAAACAGCCCCGCTTCCGGAACTTCCTTTCCAAGTGGCCAAAAGGAAACAACAACAAACACACGAACAAACAGAACAAACAGAACAAACTGTTCTCTCCTGAGCTTCTTGCTCCGACTGTTTGTTCCATCCATCTGGCCTTGTTCTCGTAGCTCATCTTGGCCATTTGCAAGCTCTTCGCCGGGCCGTGCAGCTGCATGCACCCCGAGACGAACCTCGACCGAGGGGCCTCTCGATGGTCGACACCGACACCGACGACCGGGTGGAGTTTGATGGTCTCTCGACCGGGTGTGGAGAGGGCCTCCAACCGAAAAGTATCGAAACATCACTACCCTTTCCTGAGGGGGTACCCTAAAATGTAACTTACTTTTTGGAGGTCCCCCCTCCCGGCAGTAGCTTAAGAGGGTAGGGGTATCGAAACAGACTATCTTTAACGAACAGACTTTAGATTCAGTCTTCTATGAGAACTTGAGGAACTTCGCTAAACCTTACAGAAAAAACTTGAAGGAACCGAATAGCGATGGCTTCCAACCTAGAAGCGATGGCTTCCCTGTTGGAGGGTGCAGGTACATGCCAATTTGGAACTGTTTCTGCGTTGCAATCGATCAATCGCCGAGTCCAGCCACACATAGATCCCAACGAGTCAAAGCCAAGACGTACCACCCAATCCAAACCTCTTCAGGGACTGGAGTTCTCACGTAGACTCTTGAATATTTACACCCCCTCCCGATATGAATCCCCGTCCCAACAAGAAAGAAATGGATGTTTCCCCAGGCCCAGTCATTTCCTAAAGCCATTTCCTGAAGGATCTCTGTCTTGTCATCTTGGAACAACCGTTTGATGTCCGATGGTTTTAGTTCCCATGAGGTTTTTACAATCGACCCACGCGAGTCCAGGGGACAACTGGACAGGAATGGCTGGTTCCGGGTGAAGAGGCTTTACAATCTAAATGGCAGCGCGTTTGGTGACTCAATGTCTCTTTTTGACCCCCAAATAGATAGAAAAGAAGATCCCCAATAAACAATGTCTTGGAACCCGTGTCACCATCCATTTGGGGAGTCACTCTCATCAAACGTGAACCCTTCCGGTTGCCCTTGGCCCTTGCTCCAAGTTGCTCATCCAACGTAATCTCCCCACTTTCCTCATCGCCCCGCGCAGCAAAAACGCCCACGTCGCGCCATTCTTCCAAGTCGAGTCTGGGGGGAAGACTTCTCACCATTCCGGTGGGGAGAACAGGTCCCGGTTTTGGTTAACCACCAGACCCGGTCGGCTTAGAACGCATGGATCCCCCGGTGGAATGGCCTTTTGTCCTCGAGAGACGAAAGGAACAAAGGCAACACGTGTCCACGCTCCACTTGAAGTACCTAAACTGTTATAAAAAGGGAGTGGAGCTTCACCAGGTGGCATCGTTGCTTCGGAACCAGCTGAGACACGGGAAGATGACTCCGACGTCACACACGAACCACCGCCGGAGTCGGGCGGACCGCGGAGGCGGAGGCTTCGAGGAGCGGACCGCGGAGGCGAACCGCGAAGTGAGTGAGTCTCCACCCGGACCGAGTGGGACACTCCCCTGGTATCCTGGAAAATTCAAGCATGTGACACTCAGGTTCCATGGAAGTGGAGTGAGTATAGTGAGTGAGTGAAAACCAGCTGTTTGGTATGAGGATTGAACATGGTCTTCCCCGTGGCCATTGTCCATGTTAGTGAATCGGTGTGTAAAGCTTATTCCACTTTATGGGTAGGCACAAAAGTTCAGTGTTCACAGCGAGGATACACAGATCAACCTGAAGAATTGAAGTGTGTTAAACAGCTCCCCGGCCTTCTCAGCTTCTCTCGGTTTGTATCTTTTTTGGAGCGAAGGTCAGCAACAAACCGCCGAAGCGGCAACAAACCGCCTTCGGCTCCCCATGCCACTGTGCACAAAAAGCAGCAAAAAGAAGTCTGAACATCTTACAACCCCGACAGGTGCGAATCAGGTCATCTTTCCTGGTTTTTCCTCCATCCCGGACGCGATGCCACCCTGGACCCTGCGTTCCGGAACGGGGTCGGACCCTCCGTTCAGAAAGTAGGGTCCGGACCCGAGCCAATTCCCTATATGGTTTTGAGGGACCGGGACAGGGCGGTTTTCACTCACGGTTTGCGAGTTCTGTTGAACATCGTTTCTGTTGAAAACTCCCAGCGTCATCTTGATCGATGATCATGAAGAGCGTCCAAACATCCTGCCCGTCAGCAGACGAAACCGGATGCCAGTGGTCCACCGGCCCTCCCGGCCCCCGGAGGAAGCCGACAGCAAGGGGTCTTGTTTTTTTTTTCGCGGGAATGCGAAAAACAGGCCCGGTTGGCTTCAGGTTGCCCACCCTAAAGCCTGTTCTTCCCGGTGCCCACCATTGTTTTAAGGATTTTACACTCCCTAGGGCTCCAACTACCTCCTGAGAAGATGGTTGGGGTGGGTGCCATGGGGGTGTAACCACCGAACCTGAGGATATGGGCCAGGAGCCCTAGGGACTACACAACCAGGTCTGACACCACCATTTTTCAGGGAAGCTTCGTTGAAACGTCGTTCAACCCGTCCGCCCGAACCGAACCGACGGGTCGATTCCGCGTCGATGACCCGCGAACGAACCCAAGAGCGGCCCTGAGGTCGACTGAACGATGGCCAAAGAGCACAGGCACAGGCCCTGGTCTGTTTTTTTCAACCACAAGCCATCGCCTGGTGTTCCAAACCTGGTGTAACTACACAGGCACGGGGATCTAGAAGGATGATACTTGGCTTGCATGTCCAGGGGGGGAAGTTAGGTGACTGCGGGCTGATACCAGTTTTCAGGCAGCTTGTCTTAGCAGAATCTTGTGAGGTAAGCCCCCCATGCGGCTCCGAAAAAGGCATTGATGTTTCCACTTGGGCAGTTCTTCCTAGAGACCAAAACACACCAGTCCATTTACAACCGGTGCATCTGCACTTCAGAACTGGAGGCAGTAAGCTTTGATTGGGACTGTGCAAATCTCTCTTCCTCTCTCTCTCTTTTTCTCCGGACGGATTCGGCGTCCTCGGTGGAGATGCCTAAGGACTCCATGAAGGACGCTAACTTGCGCCCTTCCATGGCAGCCTCGTGAAACAGAACAGGACCAAAACCGATGGGAAAGACAGACATGGCATGGTAGGGATGTGATGTGTAGGGGATGGCGCCTTCGAGACGAGGCAGAATTTCGCAAGCTGAGAACGCGGATAGGACGGACTCTGTACTATGTCTTCATGAGGGGCCTGCCTGGAGCTTGCACAGATCCTAGGGGAAAAAAGATCGTATAGAGAACTTGGAGACATGGTGCAGATCGCCCAGGTTCTCCAGATCAGTTTTATCTACTATAGATTCGTTTTTCACCAGTGGGTGTGGTGCAGGCATTCCTCAGACACGTGGTACAGTTCGGCGCACCCATCTTTCGCTGGCCATTTCCAGATGGACTGGGGCAACCCTTCCACCAAACGACACCCATGGGTTTAAGGCAAAGCCATGCTTTTCCAGGTGTGAAACACCCTTTTCACATGGAAACATCCAATCTGTGGTCGTAGCAGCCCTTAACTCTACTAAGAAAGAGGCCTCTCTCCCAAACAGCTGCCCAGTAAAGTGAGGATTGGACCACTCAAAGGCTGTAATTAGGTATTTGCTGAATGGAACCAAAGTCTGGAAGGGGTTTTGGAGAGAGGCAGCCGTTTAGAGATCACATGTAGACATAATTACGAGTACTCAGGGATTAAATAAGTGCCATCAAGGAACGTCACCGTTCTTGTTAATCCCTTCTCTACTGCCTTTGTGTTGAATTTAAGGATGACAACACATCGCTGGAGTATCTTCTAGGAGAGAAGTCTACTCAACAAGAAAACTAGAACAAACCAAGCAAAAGGGATGGACCGATATGGAGCATACTGTTGAAAGAGCTAGTTTTTTGGCACCACTGTGGGGTATCTTCTCTGTGTTTCATTGCAAGGTAAAACTTCTTCCAACAGTAGAACACCTTCCTCATAGCAGCATGAGTCAAGGGTGCAGTGCAAAGTGTTTTTTTTTTTTTTTCACAACATCAACCTATCATAACCTATCTATATCAAGCATTGTTTGTAGAAGGAAGGTGGAAACCAATCATGTTGAACTTCCCACATCGACCTCATCGGCACCGGACAATTCCGCCGCCGCGCGCAGCGAGCGCTCGGTTCTCACGGACCTTGAGGTCCAAAATGTTCACCTCGGCCGAGCCGAGCGGCCGGACCGTTGGCGCGGGCTCCTTCGAAACGCGAGCTCCCGGTCGAAACGCGTCACACTTGGAGCTCCAGTAAAGAGACCCCCTTGATTTCGAGCTCTTGTGAAGACTCAACCCTGCTGTGCAAATCCGCAGAGTCAGGGAACCGCCACGACCAGCTCACGGTTCCTCCCCGACCCCTCTCCGGACTCCATGCGCGCGCGATGCGATGGAACGGAGGAAGCTCCGAAGCTCTCCGAAAGCGCCGGAACCTGCACTTTCACTGACCCAAACACGACGAGCAGTCTGGGACTGCCCATGTCGGACATGCCGATATACATGGACCCCTCCCCATTCACCACCCCTGGCCTGATTGGTCAATATGGCCGTCCCATACACCTCGTGTCTGCAGAATTGTCGAGCCGGACTCGGTGTTCCCGACCGACTCCACTCCTTCGTCCATGTCACCGAGTCGGTTTGATCGGTATCGATCTCCTTGAAGACCTCGCGCAAGGACGCCACCTGTGGCAGGATTTCCATCGTGGAGGCCCCGTCGCCCACGGTGGAAGGGTCTGAATCCCGAACTACAACAATCCTTCTCTGGTACAGGCCAAGAGCCGAGGCCTGTAAGGCATCAACATAAACCATGCCATGCAGTGGTACCTCATGGTGATTTGCTACAAAGCTCAGTGTCAAACGCTTCCTTCCAGAGGATTCTGTTCACCTTCTTCGGCCACAAGGCGCTGGTGGTTCAAACGTTCGAACCCGACCGAACGGTCACGGCCGAACGGTCGGATGGGACGACCTACCTGGGGTGGAGTGGGTCCGATTCGATTGGTGGTGCATTTTGACCCATCCCAATATAGGTCCTGGATCTGGCATTCCGGGCTCACATGGGCGGTAAAGAAGTGGGTTCTCCAGATGTGTTGTATTGCAGCCAAGAGTTTTCCATACATCACACTAATTAAGATCAGTGGAAGCGACACACTTGCTAAATGTAAAGCATGGCTGCTTTCATCCTGGATTGTGTTGTGTTTCGGAGGACGTTTTCTCCAGTCTGTCTGTCGGCATCGCAAGATACAGGCGAAATTGAAGGAGCCAGGTGGACTTGAATTAACCTTCAGTTAAGGGTTATCCTTTTTCCACCGGTTGTTCCTTTGTGGGAAAACCAATAATAAGGATGTTAAAGGTCATCCACCGACCTCTTTGGGAGGAATTGAATGGGCCGGTGCTACCTGATGATGCACAAGACTGTCATGCTTCTGGTCAAACTTGTCCGCGCGGCTTTGGCTGAGGGTTATTGAAGTGGGTGATCAACTGACATCACATCTGAACAACATTTGCCCCAGCTGACGCTTTTCTTCCAGGCTTCGAAGTTGGATGAAGGCAATCAACCACCGAACCCATGACCCATGGCCTGTTTTTTCTGCTTGAGAAGCTGCTTCATGATGGCAATGTCGCGGTCAGCGTGCGCACTTTCCTTGATTCGTTGACGCAGCAAACATACTAAAGAGTGAACGTTGCTGCACAAGAAAAGTACTCCAAAAAACACGCCCCTATGCCCTATGATAACTTTGCCATGGCCTTGTTCAAGGTTTGACCGTAAACCTGAAACCCAGAAGCATCTTCATCGCACACACACACACACTCCTACACACACAAGCCCTTTTCACAGTGCCAACATCCCCAACATCAATTCATGGACCCCTTGTTGCAGCTGGGGCGCAATGGCTGTGTTGCAGAAGACTCCCGTGACCTCAGCGCGGCAGTAGTAGTAGTAGTAGTAGTAGTAGTAGTAGCTACTAGTAGCTACTAGTAGTAGTAGTAGTAGTAGTAGTGAGCAGCAGCAGCAGCAGACCTGTCATCCATGTAAATGGAACTCTTCAAAGTGGCCTCAGTGTGGGACTCAACAAACCGCTGCCCATCTTCAATTTTCTCTCGGGATCTTCCATTATCTTGTTTTGCAGCACAGTAACTAAGACTGTGCGAGAAGTGTTTCCTAACTACTTCGCACCTATCAAAGGCCCGCAACCGTCCATGATTCTATCACGTCCGATGTCATTCCAATGCGTCTCAGGGTCTTGGTCAGTTTGAGGCAAACGGCCTTTCCCATCGACAGAGGAGGTCTTATACCCTATGGTGAGGGATCGATGATGGTTCCCTGCAGTAGCAAGATAGTCTTGTACGTATTGACGCATGTGACATGTGTGCTGCACTTTGCAGTAATTTAGCAAGCTGCAGTGGAGCCGGTGCAAGGCATTCTGTTAGCACACAGGCCGGGTGTGTGCGCAAAGCCCCATGATCGACGATGAAGCCCAGCTTCTGTGCAAGGTGATACGGAGGAGGTGCACGATGACTGACAGCGTGTAATGGGGAGTCAGCAGCTTGTCGCGCGGCTGCACTAGCAGTGCCCGCAAAATGATCAGCAAGTTTGTTACATTCTCTTGGGAGATAAACTAGCCTGAAAATGAACGGGGCTCTCGCCAGCAGCAACTGGCATTCCTCCAGGATTTTCACGACTGCAAGTTTCTTGATACGACCACGACCTTGTAAATAATTCAGGAGGGGCAGAATGTCGCCCTGAAGAACTACGCCATCCTGTGCTACTCCTTGTCGGAGGCATTCATGGTAGAATTCAGTGGCTAATTGCACTGCATGCAGACACGCCTGTGCCTCTGCAATAACAGTATCTGGGCAATCAAGCAATGGTGTTGACTTCCATCGGACGAGAGTAGTAGAGTCTTGGGTAACTTGTAGAAGGCTGACCCCTGCTCCTCCTGCTCTAGTCTTCTTATGAGCAGAGCCGTCAAACTGAACTAGGCATCCCCTCCACTGGGCTGCTTCTCCTATGAGCAGCACCGCATTTTCGGGGACGTCAACCATAGCGCACAGCTTGAGGTGAGTAGCCCCGCAGTGGCAGGTATATGGGAGTAGGGTCGCCGTAGCCGACGGAAATGGTAACCTTGCATATTGCATGAGCAGCAAGCGCAACCTTGCATCTGCAGTAGCAAAGGCGGCTATCGTTTCATCTTTTTTAAAGGCCTTGGTGGTACAGAGACCCTTGTCTGGGAGTAGGGCGGATTCCAGCTGTGTTTGAGGGAATCGTTGGATACGTATGAACGAGGTAGAAGTACAATGGAGATCGGCCTGAGCCGGCGGTGCTCGAAACCAGGCAAGCTGGGTGGCTGGGAGCGATTGGTACGTACGCTGCCACAAGTCCAAGGCGTGTGCAGGGATATAGGTTTCACCTTGACACATGTAATGTTCGGACGAAGCCCCCCATATTCGGTAACTATCCTGCGGAGATGGAACAATAAGTACGTCAGCGCAATCCCAATATGTTTGGTCGGTGTCTGTCGCCAGTTGATAGGAGGCAGGTTAGCTTTGTGTAAGGCAGCCCATGCGATGTGGACTACAGGGCAATATGAGAGCCAGTGGTCAATCGTATTAGCCCCTCCCTGGCATATGACACAAGGCACGACAGCTGCATCACTGAGGGGACCATCAGTCGTTTGAACCCTGGTCTTGATTGACGTGGGAGGGGCAAGTCCCGCTGTACACGACGGAGCGTGGTGACGCAGAAAGGATAGCGCTTCCGGTGGGAGTTCAACAAATGCGCCTGGATCCTGACCAATGCAACTAACACAAAGGGCTCCTTTCTGGGGGCCAAATGGGTACGTTCTGGCGTTTTGTGTACACCAGGCACACGGCGAGCCACGACTGACTCGTCCACGCAGGGGTAGCCAGAGATCGGGGTCTTCCCCAAGTGCCCATCGCAGCACAGCAAACCGCGGGACAGCACCTATTTGAGAGATGGGAGTCTGAGACAGCCATTTGAGAAAGTCAAAGGAAGGCCCAAAGGGCCAACCATTACGAGCGATTCTATTTGAGAGATGGGAGACTGCGCTGTCGATTTCCTTGGCAATGGCAAATTGTTTAAAACATTCTTGAAAACGCCGCGCCGCTTGAAAGGGGTCCTGATCCGAACAAGTCGGCGGATCTCATCAGGGGCAAGCTGCTGCTGCCAGTATTTCCAACAAAGGTATACTTGTTTGGTATACGATTCTGCTATGCCCTCCAAGACAGAAGGGAGCGAGCAGTGGCCTTGTCGGAGATAGCAGCCGAACAAGGAGACGGCATGCATGATGGCAGGATCAAGCAAGGGGCCCAGTCGTAGCCATCGGCACAGACCAACCAGCTTTAGTTGTGGGAACCAATGCCTCTTGAGGAGGAATTCCGACAGAGCCTTGTATAAAGGCTGCAAGAGTGGTTTGGAGAAGTACCGATGAGTTTGTACGTAATAAAACAGGCTGAGCGAGAAAGCGTTGAAGTAAACGATCTTGGCATGAATACTGAGATTGCCTTTGTAGTTTCCCGCAAGTAGCCGCGTACGGAACTTGAGGAGCTGCTTGACTAACAGCGAGGGCATGGTGAGGCGCAGAGGGGCGTATTCCATTTGTTCAGCGTGTAGCTGACAAGCCCAGCCCGTATGAATGGTAAGTCCCAAATTAACAGTGCTGGGAACAATGCATTGAGCACCCAAGCCAGCACGGTCAACGTGATACAGTTGCGCTGCAGAGAATGCAGCACTAGTTAATAGCTGGGTTTTCGATCTGCAGTCACAGGGACTAGCTGCAAGTTGTAGTAGTAGCGGGTGTCCATTCAGCACCCAGTCATGTCTGTGGGCAGCATGGAACATAACACAGTGCTCTCCATGGCGTAACACAAAAAAGTGTGCGTAGTGAGGAATGTGCCGGACAGCAGCGGAGATGGTAGCTTCTCCCTGCGGATGCCACGGAATGAAAGCATCAGCATAGTCAGACAGACGTAGTAGCTGTTGCTCGGGTAGGGGGACTCTGGACAGCCCAACTTGCCAGCAGGTGTGCGCATCCATTATTACTCCCGCAGCCGACCACGTGTTGATCAAACTGAAGACCTCCTTGATCCATTCTGGATCTTGCTGTGTTCCAACAATGGTGGTGTCGTCAACGTATCCCGCTACAAGGAGGACACGCGGCACCTGGTTTAGTGCAACGAAAATCGGATCCATTGCTAGGCAGAAAAAGAAGACTGAGGTGGAGCGTCCCATGTCTACGCCAGAGAAAACTTTACGTGGAGGTAACAGTCTTCCTTGCACTTTGTGACGGATTCTTCTCCCAAATAGAAGGTACTTAGCCAGTTGCAGAACCCAGGAGGAACACTGTCGTATATGTAAGATATGCAGGATCCAATAGGCATTGACACGTTCAAAGGCTTTGGAGAGGTCTGCAAATAATGCAGACGCCGGAGTCTCTCCTTCAAGCACTCTTTGTACCTCGAGAACAGCCCTTTGTGGTTCTCTGAAGATGTTGAGCATAGTTTGCGCAGGATGGAAGGAGCTCCTAGTGGTGCGAAACAAAATAGCAGCAGCAGTACCGTCTTGTAGCCGATCAAGTGTATCTGGCATGCCTAATGGCCGGAAGTAGTCTGCCGTGGGTCCTTGTTTCGCTTTTGGTATCCAGACACCAACTTGGGTTGGCGCCGGGAGCTCACATGACATCATGCGGTCAAAATCATCTTGCAAAACAGTGGCTGATTGCTCAGGAAACATACGCCAAAAGGCGTATGGGAGTCCGTCAGGTCCGGGGGCGGAGTCTTTGGTAAGTAGGAGATGTTCGATGTAATCATCAACAACTGGCTACGTCGCCAGTGTTGGGGCCCAGGCTGGATCATAGCGGATTGGTGGCTGAAACCAAAAGTCCCGCGTGGCAAGCATGGCTTCATCGTACTCTTGCGCAGTTCTGCACTCTTTGCCATTCTTCTGTAGAAGAGGACCGTGGTAAAAGGTGCCCCGTGGGCAGATGGTTTTAAGACGATCCCAAAATGTTCTCTGCCGTCTTGCGCGACGTGCAGGGTCAGTGTGCTCCTGGCCAAGAGGGATCTGAGTGAGTGTAGTTGCTGCAATTTCGGCTGTTTGTAATGCCGTGGCAATGACGTCTGCCGGCACTAGAGATTGGTCATACTGTTTGGGCCATGACTGCAGGAGTTCAATCAGCCCACTTTGCTCATATAGGCATTGCAACGTCTCTTTATGGATGTGCAGAACCAATTGCCCTTTGCCTAGCCGTTTGTAGAGTTTTGTGAGGGGGGAAATATGTTTGAAGGCCTTGGAGGAGTTTCTCCACCAGCTCCAAACCAATGCACGGATGTGCGTGGAGAACGGAACCGCAGCTGCACAACTCTCTCTGGCTAGGGAGATAATTCGTCGAAGGAGGCGCAAAGCCTGCTGTCTCTTAGTTTCAACTTCACCAACTGCGAAAGCCGTGGGATCCAAAAAGACTTTGGTTGGGATAGTACAATGTTTTTCAGACTGCGGATGCGGGGTCAAACGAGGCTTCATAGTCAAACAGGCAGTAACGGTTTTGTGATGGCAAGTGCTGACCCGATAGCGACCTGAAATCCGGACGTGGAGTTGAGTTGTGTCTAAGAAGAAACTTGGCACCAGAAACCGGTCCAACGGCGACTCCTGCTGTTCACCAAATCGGAATGTGGGGAAGGTGGGGTCAATATCTGTGACTCCTAATTGCCCCAGAAAGTCTTCCCATAGTTGCGGGTGATGCTGATCACAGCGATTAAAATCCCCACCAATAAAAACAGGGTGTGTTTCGAGGGTAAGCAGAGCCTTGAAAACTTGACCGACAAGAGTCTTTGGACTTTTGGGAGGCAAATAGACTGATACAAGCCACACAGGGCAAGCTTGGAATGCTACGCAGGCTG